GGCACTGGCTGTAGATAACAGAAATTCACAGTGCCCTTAGTGCTGTAATTCCACTCACTGATGACTGGAAAGGGTTCTGAAGTTCAGGAGAAGAATGACTTTTCTGTCTGGATTATCAGCAGCAAGACACACCACGGATGGAGGCTGTGGATAAGACAAACTCACAGTACCATTAGTGCTGTAATACCGATCACTGATGGTTTAAAGGGTTCTGAAATTCAGCCCTTGGCCTATTCAGCAGGGGCGGTTCCTACTGACAGGGTTCAAAGGCAATACGACAGCAGGTACTTGTTACAGCTACTCTCCAAGGCCATACTGGGAGCTGAATGGATGTGAACCTTCCACCCGGCTCAGAGTAGAGCAAATGGGATGTCCTGGAAGGGGGAGAAGTGCCATTTGGCAACATGAACCTGACCGCTCGCTTCGGCACTGACCACTGTCTATTTCAAAAGGCCCCTTCATCAGGAGGGCCAACACCTCATGCCTCAAGGTGGAAATAAATGAAGATATAAATTTAAAGCTAGTGGAGGTATACTTGAAAATGCTGCATCCTCAGGGTATTTGTATTATTAGACTGCTTATTAGCCATTGCTTCAGACTGATCATCAAATCAGCAACTAACAACTGCTTACTAATATTTCGCTGAAGTTTCCGGTGGCCACAGGTCTGGGAGTTCCCTTTATGTATGTTTCCCAATACATACGTTCCGAGGGTGCTAGCATGCTGCTACTTGAACTACCACTGTTATTTTAAAAGGTACCTACTAAAATAAAGAAGCACTGCAGAAGGTTAAAAGGCGCCCGACAACCATCCCGCCGCGACAGCCTATTGCGATTTAGGCAGCGGCGACCCCGCTCCGTCCCCAGGGCCCAGCGAGCGCAGAGGGGCAGCTCCACCGGCCCGTCCGGCCCCCGCAGGGAGGCCTCGGCCCCGCGATGTCCCCTGCACCGACAGGACAGCCCGGCAGCCGCGGGCGGACAGGTGCGAGCGGCGGCGGCAGCAGCGGCAGCAGCAGCAGCAGCACCGCACCGACCCCCGGCCAAGCTAGCCAGCCAAGCTACCGCCCCGCCGCCGGGGCGTGAGCGGAACCGCGGCCAGCCTCGCCCCGGCACAGCCGGTCCGCGAGAGTTCAGACGAACGGAGGGAAGCGCCGGGGGGAATCCCCCCCCCCGGGGGGCCCCCCCCCCCCCCCCCCCGCCCGCCGCCCGCGCCCGGCGCCGCTCACCGCCTTTATCCTTGCCGTACATGTGCCCGGCCACCTGGTGCGATAGCGGCACGCAGCCGTTCAGCGCCCGCCGCCGGCCGCCCCCCGCCGCGGCGGGGCCCGGGGAGGCTCCGAGCACCGGCTGGGCCGCGGCCTCCTCCGCCTCCGCCTCCACCTCCGCCTCGCCGCGCCCGCCGCCCGCGCAGCGCCCGCGCCCGCCCTCCGGGAGCCCGGCCGGCCGCGGGGGCTCCGTGGCCATGTCCCGGCGGTGGGAGGGAGGCGGCGGCGGGCGAGGGGCGGCCGCGCTGTGGCGGCGGGGCCGGCCGGGCCTCAGCAGGCGCTGCGAGCCGAGGCGCAGACGGCGAGGGCCCGCGGCTCCATCACCCCGCGCCGCTCCGCGCCGCGCCGCCCGCCCACCCCGCGCTGGGGCAGCGACCGCCGCCGCCCCGCCCCGGGCGGGACTCCGCCCCCGCCGCCAGGCCCGGCCCAGCCCGGCCCGGCCCGCAGCGCGGCCAGGGCGGTGCTGCCGCTGGGCTGGCGGTGGCGGCGCCCGCCGGCCCCGGCCCCGGCCCCGGCCCCGGGGAGAGGCCGAGACGAGCAGAGCCGGTTCGGCGGAGGCAGAGGGACCCGGAGCACCCGCCGAACCGGCCCCGACCCCGCGGGCACCCCTCGGGAGAGCGGCCGGAGCCGTGCGGTGACGGGCGGGAGTCGTCTCCCTCCGATGGTTCTCGGTAACCTGAAACACCCCCCCCCCCAAACCCCCTCCTTTTTTTTTTTTTTTTTTTTTTTTTTTAGCAATTCACCATCACCTCGAGGTTTTATTTCCCTCCAGCAGATCGGACGGGCTGCAAGTGACACCCAGCCGAAGCGTGTGAACGGGATAAATGTTTACAGCGAGGAGGGACCCTTAAAGCAGCCTGAACCAGAGCCTTACCACGCCTTACCAGCGTATGTGCTGGTCTTGCATTAGAAGGTTAGCACACTTGGCCCAACACCTGATCAAAAATGGATAAGGGATTAATATCTAATCTGAGTTTTACCTCCCCGTGGGCAGAGGAAGCTGTGCATGGCCCTGCATTCATTCTCAGGACCCCAAAGCCCACTGGTTTTATTAGCATTTCTTTTCAGTATGGCACATATCAGCTTTATTTATCAGCCTGTAATTACTGCCTTTTCTTTTTGCTGTTTCTTTATAAAATTAGCAGACCTCTGTGAATAATTATTAGATCCGCACTTTTGCCGTGGTATCTTGTCAGTATCAAGTTGTGTTTAGCATTAGTATGACACAGGACAAGAAAACAAGACCAGAGATAGGAAAATGAATTTCAGCAGATATATATTGTTTCCCCAGGTTTTATAAAATGGGCTGATGCATATTCAGGAATTGGTGCTGATATCAGAGAAATGATGATGTGGTGAGCTCAGCTATTACTTACCACCTCTTCCCTATCCCATAGTTGGGAGATGTGGCACGTGGTCTGGAAAAGTGGATGGCAATTTGAGGGATTTAGTGGGGAAATTATCACAGGAGCAGGAAGGTCACAGGGGAAATTAGAATATTGAGGAGTGAGAGGAAGGAGCAAAATATATCAAAATATATTAGTTCATTGTTCACAGAACAGTTTGTTTTACACAATCTTAATTAGGTAAGATGGGGCAGACAGGGGTAACAACTCAGCAAGATCCTTTGTGAATTAACAAGGCTGGTCAGAAAATGTTTTTCCCTCATGAATATCCCCTTCTCATTAGTCATTACTGTCCAGCTCTGAAGATTAGGAGTCAGATGGCTGCAAGAGTAAGCTCCTATCTTCAGATCCCCAACGCTGAATTTTCCCAGGGGGTTGCTGGAACAGGACAGAAATACCACAGCTGGCCAACCCTTGCACAAGAATTACTGAGGACTAGGGTGAAAAAAAAGAAACACAAGTAGCATGCATTTGGCAGAGAGGCGGCTCCTGGTCTCGGTGGCAACAGCTGCTGCAAGGTTTGGATGCCAACCTGAGCCTTACAGAAAGATATTTCCCCCCACAGAGATGCAAGATACTTCGGTTAATCCGGGTCTAAGAGAGAGAAAAAGAGAGATGGCATTTCAAACTTGCCCCTCTAAAACTACAATCTGCCTGAACTCAAGATCTTAATGAAAAAAAGAATGGAATTACAAGGCGGTAAAATTGGAATTTAAAGACTATTCAAGCACCTAGTCCTCAACAGATATCTGCTAGATATCCTTGCAGCTAACAGAAGTAGGCCTGCAGAGGATTTGAAGAAATAATAAAGCATGAGTAATTGGAATAAGCAAACACTAAGTCTTTCCTTTCCCCTGGTATTTGCTTTAGTCAGATTCATGCATATAGAAATCAAGTGATGTGAGACTATCCTCTGCTCACTCATCCCACCCTCACACTCCAGCACATGGAGTTCACTAATCTCATCTGGGAACTTCTCCTAAATGAAACAGAGACAATATCAGTAAAGGCAAATAATTCCTTTCCCCACTGAGTGTGACACTGTAAGAGTTTGCACACTTGAAAGCTGAACCTACCAGCAGGATTCCCAAAGAAACTGCTCCCCTCCAGGCCGTGCAACTGCACTCCAAGGGAAAGCAAGAGAGGCTTCAAGCAGCTCCTAAAGGAGGGGCAATTTAATTGGGAATCTCCTCCCAGTCAAATGCGTTTGTGCTGCCAGAGGATGCTTCACTGGCAGGTTGCACAGCTCCCCTGAACTGACCGAGGGTTTACGAAAGAACCACTATCTGCTGAAATAAAGCCCTTTTTCAAACACAACAGCCAGTTAATAACTAACTGCAAGACGCACAGTGGTTTAGTACAGGAAATAAGCTCATACTTCAGTGGAAGTGGAGGAGGGCGTTAGGTAAACAAAACAGTGGGGTTGGGTCTCGGCCAAAATATTGGTGCTCCAGAGGTATGCTGACAGCAAGCACTGCTGGATTTTTCACTGTCCCTTTGAATAGTTCACAGCCAATTCCTTCCCCCCCTCACCAAAAATACTGCTGTTGTGCCGTGTTTTCTGTGCAAGGTCTGTGTGAGAGGTGTCGACCCTGCTGCCCCCACAAAGCCACTTCCTGCAGTGAGCAGCCACGTCTGTGTCGCTTTCTGCTGGCCCATCAGATTGCACCAGAGCCAGCCTGGACCATACATGTGGCCCTGAGAACAAATGTCCGTCAGCAAAACCAGTAATTTGTTGGAGGAGAGAGCAATTGCAGTCACTGTCACAGCAGCGTGGAGGTTGCAGCTGCTTTGCAGTTCTTTTTCCTTGGCCCTTTCACAGCACAAGTGTGGCTCTATGGTGCCCTCTTAAAATCGCTCAGGGCTTTTAATCCTTTGGTAAATCCACAGAAGTTCTGTGCTGGTTTTGTGCTTGCTAAGTAAAGGAAAATCTGAACTTACCTCTGTCTTCTGCAGGTGTAAAACTCAGTGTTGCTGTCTTGCTTTCTTTCCTAGTTATGGCCTTGTCACTTAGGCATCAGGTCCCACAATGATTAATATTTTCCTTGGCAAACGGATGCAAACTCTTTGACACTACTCTCCTCCCCGGCAACTAGCACATCTGGGGTTTTCCAGAAGGAAAACAAAAGGATGCTGTCAAAAGCCAACCTACGATCTGAGGGAATAATATAGCACATTTTAAAAATTACCGTGAGGTTAACTCATGGCAGTTGTGTACTTTCTGGATCACCTTTTCTACAGTCAGAACGGCAGCTGTAAATTTTGGGACCTCTGTTTTGTATTAGAAGGATAAAAGGAGTATAAAAGTGAGGAGCTCTTTTCAACGGTTCTTTTCTTCCTCAGAATCCTTGGATTTTATTTTCTCGATGGTGGTCACTGAAGAAACTAAGCTGAGTATTTGGAGGGAAGGTTCTTTCTGAAACAGAAAACACTGGATCAAAGTCTTTGGCACCATCTCCTGATTTCACGGCTTACAGGCAGGTACAGACACTCCCTTTGTCTTTCCAAAGATTTCCCAAGTGCAGTGTTGTATCAATATCAGGGGGTTGGCTCAGGGTTTACAAATGCATGATGACATTTTACGAGTCACATCCTAATGCTTTAGGATAACCCCAAGACTTAACTTAGGGTTATTGACGGGCCAGGAGGTTTATTTAAAATGCCTGTTTGTCTTTCCCTGGAGGGGACTTACATTGCCTCCACGTGCAGCAAAATTAAACACCTATTTATTGATTAAACCCACTGGCATTAAAAGTCTCTTCTATTAAATGGCATTCTACTGCCAAAATTTACCTGCAAAGCAACAAAATCACAACCCTTGCAGTACAATGAACTTTGAATGCTTCACACATTAAAGCTGTAATTTCTGGGACACTCAGAAAGCTCCTTTTTCTTTTGCACAGGCTTCTCCCAGAGAGCAGACGGCACTTCTTTTTTTTTTTTGTATAAATGTGCCAGGTATTAATGCCACAGCAAAAAAGAACTGCAGTCCACGTAACAAAGAGGATGCAGAGCAGAGTGGATTAAGGGCAGCACATCATCAAACTGGACAGGCGAGATCGTTCAGTCTTCAGCTGGGAAAAACATAACAAGACACACGATCTGTATGTGCTTATGTGAGACCTTTGCAGCTTCTGTGTATCAAAGGAAGCCTGATAAATCCTTTCTTACCAGTCCAAACTGTACATGGGACAGGTGGACTGCATCCTGCTTTGCTACAGTCACGTTACCCTACTGTGATTTTACTGACTTCTGGGACCATACTGTTCACTACTACTTCTGTTTATTGTAATTGCACATCTAATTTAACAGTTTACAAAGAGGGGGTGTGGAGGAACACTAAGACTGCTAACAGGACTAATGGCACAGGTGGATGTTGCTTTCTGCCCAGTACTGTGGGATTTCACAAACAATTCAGGAAGAAAAACCAGAGATGTCTGCTGGAGCACATAACCCCTTTGACTCTGAGGAGCAAGGGTTTTGGCCAATAGAACTGCCTAGTCCCAGACACTAATGAATAGCCACTTTGTACATCTTATACTTGGCTCTAGTAAGGTGTATAACGAAATGCAATAAACCATTTTGTTTGATTTATCCCTTTTTGCTACGACGTAGTGCTGATACATCTTCTAGCTTATGCTTTCCTCCCATCTGCCACTTTTTTTTTCCCTCATTTTTCTTCTTTATTTGTATGTTTTTTAGTGTTTAGTCAGCTGATCTCTGCATTACGCTCAGCATTAGGCAGCTTGGAAATCATCCCACCTAGAAAGACAGCACACACTGCTGGCAGCGCAGCTGCAGGAAACAAGCAGTGGAGAGCTTCAAACAACAGCCCCTGGTACCCATCCTAAATTAATCATGGCCCCAGGAAAAGGATCATTCACCTGACAGCGAGAGAAGCTGCTCATCCATGCAGGAAAACTGGGGCAGAACAAGCCTGGGTGCAGAAAGCAAGGAAGGGAACAGGTATCTAACCCTGCTGGGCTGAGTGTGTGTCAGCAACAATGGAAAAGGAATTTAGTTCTTTTCAGCAGGTCTGCATCAAACAGAGATGCTGAGCACCCAGGAAGCTGACTCTAGAAGCGCTCGAATATCTGACATTCAGGCTGTTTTGATGAGTCACACTCAGTTACTCAAGAATCAGTATTTTAATTCGTTCACCTTCCCGACAACCACTTACATGTTGAGGAGCAGAAAGTTTTACTCTGGGGCAGGAATTCTTCACTGCTTTCAAGAGGATTTGGACCACATTTCCAACAGGAGTTTCGATGTGAGGTCAAAATTGCACATATGCAGAATTTTTTTATGGTTAAAACTTTGTAGAATTATAAAAATTCACTTCATGCTCCAGAGATTATGTGAGGAAAGCACTAAAGAGAGAGATTTTGGAAAACACTGGAACAGGCAAGCACTCAGCCCATCAGAACATGGTAACCTATTCTGGCACTAAGGGAAAAAATGAAGTGTGCTCTGTGATGCTCATCGAGACCGCTGGCAAGTTTGTTTGCTCAAATCCAAGTCTCCCTTCTCATTATCACGTTCAAACAGCTCACATACATAATGAGAACTGTTAGGTACAGCACAGGAAACTGTACATACCTCAAAATAAGATCTGACCACTTCAAATCAACATTCACCCAAAACCAAAAGTCACCAGGACTCAGCTTCCAAAACTTTGTTTCCCAGGAATAAAAACTTCCCACAGGGCCCACTTCCTCGATGCCCAAACTCCAGGAAATAGTTTTGACTCGGGAGACTCATCTGAAACTACAAGACTTCATCTCTCAGACCATTAATGCAGTTTTCAGTGAACTTCTATTCCTTCGGGTGCAGCCAGGCTTTGCTGCTGACAGAAAAAGGAGTCTCAAAAGGAAAAATCCACCCTGGACACGGGTTTTTGACTACAGCAGCACTGGCTTACAGCACTGCTCAGGGTAACTCCATTGAGAGGAACAGCACACCCATGAGAACACAGACGTTACAGCCTCCAGATTAGGATGAGCTCAAATGTGTATTTGACAAAAATACAGAAATATCCAGTGTCATATTTTAATAATACAGAATTTACTTTGCTTTGGATAAAAGCAAGGTATTCAGTAATTTAAGGTTAAAACAACTTTCCATATGCATTGGTACTTGGCCAAGTAAAAAAAAAAATATCCAGTACCTTTACACTCAAGACAGGCAGAAAAGACAAACTAACATATTTGGCTGCAACTTAAAGTAGAGGTGCCCCTACTACAATACCCCACCTACCAACCCTTTCTCTACCTGTGCTGCCTTGTCTACTTTTTGAACCTTCTGCCCAAGTTCAGATCAGTTGCCAAGACCTCAGCCTCTGAAAGCCTCACATCGAGAATATGCAGAACATCATCTTCAGTCTTAACCAGTCACACCAACAACCCTTAAAAAAAAATAAAAATTTTTACTGCTCCCATCATGTAAAGAACACTTAAGGGTGCAGGTTAAAATGTCAGCCTCTTAACAAGGCCTTTCATCCAGCCCTGGGGTAGGACATCAAGAGCTCAATCTTACACAGGCTGCAGTAAAAATAATAGACTGGGTTTAGCAAAAAACTGCCTTCTGCCACCCCACTCTTTGGGTTTTGCTTTGTAGTCATTTTCACGTTAATAAAGCTATTTAATTTAAGGAGACCAACGTGACAGCCAGTAATGCAACCACGCCCAGACAAGTAGACAAGTGCCATAGGAAAGGAGGGTAAGAGCTCTCTCCCTGTCTTTTCCTTCCTTCCTTTTCTGTTTCCATTTGTTTCCAAAGCCTTGCCTTGTCCATGCCAGTATTTTTTTGGCAAAATCAGCTGAACCACATCAACAGCCCAGGGAGGCAGGGCTTATTTAAGACACATAGAGCCTAAGGCCACATGGTAAGAAAGGTATGCCTCCTCCCTCCGCAGCAGGAAGAGATCTCCAGCTCTGGAGAGCTTCCCCATGGCCAGAGCCGTGGTAACTGTGATGGTCATCATCAGACTGTGATGATGCCTGGGGTTTTAGGGTTTTTTTTAAAGATTCTGGAATCAATCGGCATAGCCTCCCCACAGAAGTGTGCTGTGGTCTGGGGAAGTTGGCTTCACTCTGAGACTGCAAGTGAAACTAAGGTTTTCTGGCACCCCCTGTCCATCCCCCTTGGAGCACTCTGTGTCATTCCACTGGTCTATTAAGAAAGCTCTCTCAGAGACCATCTTCCTAATCCTATTCTCAGTACAGGTTTGGGAGGTACGTTCTTGATACCACGTGGAAGTTGGGTCAAGTTTCAATACTGCTGTAAAATCAAAGGTGAAGTTGCCCTCACACCCGATTTTACTATCAGCCTTTTCTGTTGCCTGTTCATAGCTGGCAATTTTGAGGTCATTCTTTCACAGAAGCCACACAGCACAGAAGTGTAACAGGCCAAACATGACACTTGCAGAAAATGCAGCACAATCAGAGATTAAGCTGCATTTTGGCACCGGGATTTCTTCCCTGCCACTGCCTTTTACATGGAAATCTACCCAGCTTTGTGACTTCAGAAACTCTACAGGATTTCAGGATCTACCTTTTGATATACATGTATTTGAAAATAATTTAATACCTATTTCCCAAAGAAGTACATTCTGTGCGTCATTTTAGTTTCATACTCAGTGAGAGGGTACACACACTTTACAGGACCAGAAATTTAAACCATGACTATTTAGTAAATTATGCATTGTAGTGATTGAAAGACAACAAGCACCAGAGAAAATACACATGCTGAAGCCTAATGTATATACTACATTGGGAAGTCTTCAGTGACACGACAAAGGATTTGTGGTTTTTCCCCCCCCCTCAATTACAAGTGAGCAGAGGATTTGTCAGACATTCATTTTGTAGCTTCTACTGTCCACTCTACGCCTCCTTCCTCTTGATGATCAGAGGCCCCACGTTGTCGCCAGTTTCCTCGTTGTGCTTTGTGTGAGAGCCATCACAAAGGGGGAACTGAAAAAGGAAAATACAAACACATCTGAAGTACATCCAGAGTCAGAATTAAGAACCTAAGCTGAAAGTTTATTAGGTTTTTTCCCATTAAATCCACTGTGACCACAGACCACAACTTTTGTGCTGGCAGTTCAGGCATCCCAGAGTTTTGGCTGAATGCTGGTTTTACCCTTGTTACTACAGAGTGGACAAGAGACTCATTCTAAAAAAGCAGCCACTAATCTCCACTCTGTTTGGAGTTCCTGCCTCAGGCCAGCATAAGGAAAGTGCAGACCTTCAGCTATAACCTACCTGGAGTACCTTGCTCTCAACCTTGCCCCACACACCATTTTCCCAGGCGACAGCCAGAGCTGAGTGCAGTACCAGATGGTAAGTGGGGTGAGAAAGGGAAACAAGAAGAGATCCTTAGCTCTGTTATTTCCCTGGTTTTCCGCAGCATGTGATAAGAGAGACACACATACATGCTAGTCCTGCCTCCAGACAGCCAGAGTGGCAAGCCAGCTTTGCTCCATCCTGACATCTCATCCATGCGACTGTCCCCTTGCACAAGCTGGCTTCCACATTCCGCTGGCTAATGGAAATAAGCTGCACTTCATCAGTGCTGCCCTTGAGAGCCATGGCAGTTGGAAGTAATTTCAAGAAATGTTTGTTCCATTTAAATAAATAAAAAAAAAAGAACCCCACCCTAGAACAGGCTGGTCAGAACAAGAACTACGGGGACGACTCCAGCCAGCTGTAACTGCCCAGGTCCCAGCCTGGTGACAACCACTCTGTTTCTGGGCAGCCCTTTTCACATAAAAGAGCCCAAAGATGTTCGGTGAGGTAACGAGTTTAGATCCCATCACCTCTCAAGGATGTATTTTGGGGCTATGCCTCCTCTTCTAGGAAACTCTGGAGACAATCACAGAAGTCACACGCCGGTATTTTGCATCAGTTATTATTTTGTTTGCTTAGAAGTAATGGGAACTGAAGTTGGGCATTACTCCATTTTTGTCATTGCAACAGCAGTACTGCTACAGTCGGTCTTCAATGCTCCACCAATCCTAAAGTTCATGCCTGAGTCACAGCCTTTTCAAAACATCAGCCCTGCTTAGAATAAAAAATTTCAAAGTACTGCACAAAACCAATATAATGAAACATTATACAGAGCTTCAAAAATAATCTCATCTGCTCTGTAGGGTAGTGTTGGAAGGAGAGGTCAGGTGGGGTGGTTTTTTTGTTTGTTTTATGGGGGGTTTTTTCAGTTACAAAATGTTAAAACCTACATTAGAAGTGGCAGGTGATATTTATGAAAAAAGAAACCCTGAATTCAGAGAATGCTCATGTAAACTGATCCACGCAGAAACTTTATCATCTCGTCAGTCGTTTGTGACTCAGTGAGTAAGCAATGACAGATGCTTGGACAAAATCTGAGGAAACAGGAATGTATATTCATGGTACACTGACCAGCTTCCAACCCAGCAGTTCCTGGGCCAGTTGTTTTTCCGTGCAACACTGCAGTACACCGGTCTTCACAGAGGCATTGACACAGCTTCCACCAGACATTAACATCTCACAAGCTCCAAGGAGGCAAGCCCAAGGGCCAGCTAGAGCAACATCATCACTCCAACGGTGCGAGTGACAAAAATAGCGGGATTCACAGGCTTCAGACAGCATCAAAACATCTTTAACACCTACCAATGCTCCCCTCTCCCAACTCACACAGTTAAAAATGAAGACAGGGAAGAAAACAAGTGCTCTAACTTTAATTACAGTTTAGTTTCAAGACAAAACTACTGCCTCTACACTGATAAGTTTGAACACCGGGTTTCTTCACAAAACTTGACAACTGCACTGAACAGAAAAGGGTCATTTAAAGAACTACCTACTATTATTAACAGATAATTACACCCCAAGACAGACTTATTTGAAGAGACCACATGTGGGGTTTTTTTAAACACATACATTCCACAAAGACACTGGCTAGCACCAAAAAAAAAAAAAAAATCCAAATCCACCCTGCAAATAACCCTGCTCCTTTTTCAAGAGTTACTCCAAAATATCCTGGTACAGTCCAACTGTTTTGTTATTCCCTGCAGAGGAGGAACACCCTGTGGTGTAAATGCACACACGCCATCAGTGCAACAGAAGTAGCCTATGGTTTCTAACACCAGTGGCTCTATTAAGAGCTTTGTGCCTCAGATGAGGCGAAATCTGATGAGAAATACACACATTGATACAAAAGGACATTTCTTCTAAACTTTATGCGCCACTTATTTACCAAAAAACACAGCAGGTACTTCAAGTGTTCGAAGTAATTTTGATTTCCCACATGGGAAGCACACACATTCCACATTTTGACACCGTACCATTACAAATTTTAACAAGTTTGAGAACTGTTAAGGACCAGATAATGCTACCTGACAGTTTCCAAAGATTACAAGCATGTGAAAATGATGTGTTCCAATAGTGCTTGGCCATAACAGAACATGAGAAGAAGCATACACATCATCTTAGAGATTATGCTTCCCCTCCTGCGAGGTCAGCCCATCAGGGCAAGAGGAAGGCAGCAAAACTGGAAAACTACTGTCTTTGGAACAGAACATTCTGACTCAAATACTCATCATTAAACACCAGTAAAAGAAAACAAATGCTTCCCAAAATTTCCACTGACCGCCTTAATGCCTTTACGAGACTTTTCATATCAGAATTCTAAGAATGCACACACATTATAGCCCCATCTACTTCCTTCTGGGTGATCAGAGCCCTAATTCAGTAGGACAGTATGTTCCTGAACTGTGCAGAAACATTCCTTCTTAAGGTTTTTATTTTGCACAAAAAAAAGATAATATCAAACAATAGCAAACAACTGGCAGGAGCTGCAATGCCACCACTAGAACCAGACACTGTCTCCCATTTCTCTTTAGAAAACTGAGTAGGAAGAAGACAGCACAAATGCCAAGGTTCAAGTTAGGCATTTTTTTGTGTGTTTTTCAATTCAGACCCTAGACAAAGAACAGAGAAGACAAGACCATCTCCACGGGACTATTTCAGAATCAAGTCATGATGCTGCTTAATCCTTAGCGGTATTTTACTGTTAAACCAAACTCTCCCTCAAATGTGCAAGCTCCAGAGTTACCCAAAAGGTCAGTGACATCTGACAACAGCAAGATCCAGAAGTTACAGCACGTGGAAAACGGCCAAGTATGGCCTAATTAGACCAGTGACTAAGACTTGAGAAGTCTATTATTCAATTCACTGACAGACAGAGAGCTAAATTTCAAGGCAGTTATCCGGCTTTGAAGGCCTGTATAGTGATAAATGGACAGGACTAATCATGCAATTTGATTTCACTACAGATCCCAGAACTCCCACTGTAGATAAACTGTACACATCTCAGCTACATCAAGAGTCAGGCATCTCTAAGATCAGATTTTAATCTGAGGTAGTAGTGTTATTGAAAGGCTAGCTTACCACCAATTTTAGGCAACTGAGGCAACTCAACTTCAAATGCAAGTAAGCTGGACCAGTGTCTAGGCCAGACTTTTAACTGCTCAAAAACAGAAGCTTAAACTGTGCCACTGTGATTGCCCTGCCACGCACTACGTACTAGTGGCAAGGCACTTTACGACTGAGTAAGCTTCCAACTTTAAAACCAGTTTTGCTGAAAGATGCGGGCACACGAACGACCCGGGACCGTTCAATCCGCTCTTACCTTCTTAGACCTCCAACAGCGACAGTACACGGCCTTGTCTCCCAGATCCTCCATGTCAAACGCGTGGACCACCTTGGGGTTATCCTTCTGGATGTGAGGATTCACCATTGCTTTGCAGCATTTGTCTTTAGAGAGAAATTTTTTGTAAGCTAGATACCCGACAGCAGCTGCTCCAGCAGCTAAGGAGACTGCAGCAATCCATTCAACTAGAATAACAGAAAAAAAGGAGAGACTGTCAATTTTTTTCGCCACAACGTTCTATCTGTTAAAACCACTCAGTAGTAAAGGTCTTCGTGCTTGCAGCAGCATCTTCACTTTCCAATAAATGTTTTTTGTTCTTCAGTAGTAACTCTGTACTTCAGAAGAGTGTTTTCCTTTGACACTCACCTAGTTAATCTACTCCTTTCTACCAACTGGAGTTCTACTTCACCCAAGTGCCTTCTACACAAGGGTGAGGATTAACCTGTCAGGGTTTTCAAGGGTTTTTTTGGGTTGGTTGTTTTCTGATTTTGTTTTTGGTGGGTTTTTTTTAACCTTTTATTTGGGAAACTGATATCAACATGGGTAGTAAATTGTTTCAAAGTTCAGCATATTAAACCAGTTGTAAGTACACTCTGTAGCAGGAAAAAAACTTGTATGGCTTGTTTCAGTTGCAGGAAAGTCACTAAAGAACAAGAGTCAGCACCAACAACTCAAGCAGGATCCCCCAAAGGCAAAGGCAATGAGTAGCTTTTAATATAATGCATCTTGTAACTAAAAAAAAAAAAACTAAAACCAGCTGTTTGGCAATGGGAAAATTATTAAATATATTGCTTCCAGTAAGAAAAGCCAGCTTAGATCAAATCCCTACTGTTGTGGAAAGAACAAGGGTCCAAAAAGATTATATTTAAGAATCATAGCACGTGTTTATTTTTCAGAGACAAACACCCTTTGTTAGTTCTCGCCATTTTCCACGACCAAATGACTCGCTGTATTGCCCACATGACATTGGTCTAAAAGGATCAAGGTTTTCTGCCCCTGTCCCATAGACAGGGACCAACATACCCTAAGACTTCCCCCACAAATGAGTGACAAACCCTCCCTGTAACAAGGTGATATTAAGATAGAGAAAACCATCATTAACATCGAAGGATTTAGGGCAGGTTTCCCTGCTCCCAAAGTCCCTAAAAACAACAGAAGCCCCAGAGATCATGTGGTGAACTCTGTGTTTTATATCCATCCAGTGAGTTCTCACCCTTTATCTCCCTCTTACAAACTAGCCAGAGTAATGCAGATTTTTAACAGGGCAAAGAAGTGAGGAGGTGAAATTAAAGAAGGGGTTTTATGAAAATCTGCTTTAATTTAGCACAACGGCCCAAACTAACCAAAAGAACAGCCAAAGTTTAAATCCAAGGCAATTACAAGGAGCACCCAAGCTGCTAGCTGGCCAATGCACTGCCAATGCAACAAAGCTTAACCTACATTTTTAACTAAGTAACTCCCAATTCTAGTATAATACAAAACCACGATGGTACAAGTGACAAGACAAGACACTACAGGCTTGTGCAGCACGACAGAAAAATTGTTTCCATGTCATAAGCACTAAACTAAACAATGGAAAAACGCTTTGGCTAAAACTCCAGAAAAATTAGGAGGGAATGAAGTCCCAGGAGACAGCACACAGAAGTAAACAAAAAACCAGAAGATGAGAATAGCAACAAGCCAATGATAAGATTTTTTTTCTCTTCTGTGTTCTCTGGGCACATCCCAGTGGAAAAGATATTTAGATCAGTTTCTCCTCTCTTCTCTAAACATCTAGAACGCCGCTCTGGATGTTTACAGATTCACGGTACAGAGGTAGTTTTTGGACCTGCCAGAGAGCTCAAACAGATTTTATCTGCAGGAAGAACAGGCATTTGCCATCTGCACTGAGAAAGCACACGAGGTGGTCTCAGGTCCACCAGGAGTACAAGATCCTTGTTAGGACACGGATCAATTGACATTCCAGGAACTGGCGACAACACGAGAGAGAGCTTCACTCCCACAAAGTTAGCCCAAAATAGTCTTAGGAAATGTTTATACTATTCAAAAGTGACAGAGCAATAATTCCAAACAAGAAAACCCACACTTTATGTCTCCAGAAGTGCTTACTATAACTTTCAAACACTTTTTTCTCCTCGTTTTGTTGGCCAATCAGGAGACTACTATTGCACAAGAGTTGTTTATGATAGTCCAGCAGTGTCACTGTCCACAATGAAAGGCCATGCTGGAGAAACATATGATATTTGCTTACTGAAGAGTCACCCAGCTGCACAACTGGCTGCACAAACAGCAAAAGTGAAGCAATCAGCCAGGCTGAGAAAATCACTTCTACCCCTCCACAGAACGCACAAAACGTGAGATTATGGCTGGCAAATTTAATTTAACCGAAGCCCATAAAGAGGCCACCTGAGAGAGAAGGAATGCCGGATTTTGCCAGTTAGCAGCACAAGACAAGTTACCGTGATCAGATCAACAGTCACGCAGGGGTCACACCTGCAACCACCCACACCTCTCGCAACAAAAAGCACTAGCTGTGCTACTCGCTGCCTTCCCAAAGGGCACAAATGCACAGAAGTAATTAACTCCCAAATGACTGCCAGGAATTAAATCTCACAAAAACACGGTGAAGTTCTGGCGTCTAGTTTTTGGCCGTGGAATAAATGATTTCAGAATTTCATCGGCCTGAGACACGCACAAGCTGGAGAAAGAACTGTGACCGGCCAGTAACTTTTCAAGTTTAATCTTGTCAGAAATCACAACAACCTAATCCCGCCGTCCCCTCCTAAACAGGAGGAGCCTCTAGGACTGCTCCCATCAGTTTTCCCCCTGCTTCCCTGAGATAAGGAGGATATCTGCAGTTTGATTAGGAGCATGATCTTCTCCCATCCTCACCAAGTTTTTCTTCTCAATTCCTAAGGTACGAAGACTGTTCTAATTCCTGCAAGCTTATAAAGGACAGCAAGCTGCCGTTGGGAACACAACCTGGATGCAAACTATTATCGAGTCATCCTCAGCGCTTTCATTAGTTTAACAAGCACGGCCTTCCATCACTATTTTTGACTGATGCCTTTTGCCAACATCCTCTGTGCCAGCAGAGTAGACCCTCCACCCCCCAAAACTTTCTACCCCACCCAATTAAGGACATAAACCACGAGCCACTTTGCAAGTGGAAACCACAGCGATGCAGGTGAAGCTCGCTTTTTAGAAAAAAAAAAAAAAAAAAAAAAAAAAAGGCAACCGGGACTCTATTCTGTCCTCCACCACCTCAACCCTTTCATCCCATTCGGTTGCGCAACAGCATATCAAACAAATGACGCTATCTCAGGCACGGCTCAGGTCAATAATGACCCCGCGCAAACGCCACCGTTACTTCTATTGTAAGGCAGCGGGCTTCGAGAGCCAGGCAGACCTCCCCCCTGAAATCTACAGATTTTCGCGACATTTGCACTCAAACACGTGGAAAGGCAGAAATAAAACAAGGTCGCCTAAAAGGGGGGGG